GAGAGAGAGAGAGAGAGAGAGAGAGAGAAAGAGAGAGAGAGAAAGTTCTGATACGTAGCAGTTTGAATGGGTGTTGTTATATCTGAGGCATCATGGAACTGACTTCGAGTCATAGGAACGATAGCTGAAAACATATTATTTTACTGCCTTATCATACGACTTTAACATATAGTTTTTGAATGTTTTTTCTTTTGTTTTAATGCTGCTCGTCAGGGCCAACCAGGGCTGAGTGGGATACATGCCCCTGTAGAAAGATGAAGACACTTAGACTTGTTAAGTTGAGACTTTCCACCTTGGAAATCGAACTCATATATGCCATGGCAAAAAACCTAATCAGTACTAGATCTAAACAGACGCCAATTTTTAAAAAATTGATTGGCATTGGCTCTGACACTGAAACAAGTACAAACATTAAAGCAATGTATTCTGCACACCCATAGAGTTTGTCCATTTACTGATAGCTTGCGAAATCAAGTTGGAAGTCCATATATACAAATACAATACATGCATGAAGTAAGCAACACTGAATACTAAACAAAGTCAAGTCACACCAGATGAAAATTTTACATTTGAAAGGTTTTGTGACTTCATAATAATATGTTTTTTTCTCCCATGTGTGAACTTACGCTTTTTTTCTTTTTGATCAACTAATCAATCTTAACTGTTTTAAAATGTTTCATCACAAGAAATGTGCTGTGGCCATTGCATTGATTTTATACTGCTTCAATTATGTTTCATTTTTTTTACCCGACAGCATAAAGGCCATGAACAGATAATCATTTTTTCGAACCGTTTTTACTTTTTGATAAATGCATTTTATCCAAACCCCCTTCATTTCCATTCATAAAAACCAAAAAGCATTATTGCAGAACTAATAGTTGTAATGTTTTGTCTTGTGTGGGTGTCATTTTGCACCCATTTACATGGATTTCAAGCCTTATCGTGGCCGACACTATGAATCAAAGTCCTGAATATTCATCAAAAGCACAGAAAAGAAAGTGTTCCCGTTGGCAGCAGGGAGGCAACATACAACACATACATACATGAACATACAACACATACATACATGAACATACAACACATACATACATGAACATACAACACATACATACATGAAC